AATGAAAATTATTGTAAAAAGATTTTCCACTCTACACAGAAGGTAAAATCTCTCTGTTGGGGGAAAAATAGTTTGGCATGTGTTCTGGTAAAAAATAGGCAGGTGCTGCTGGCGAGCGTGGAATCTAGGTATTCGAGGAGCTGTTTAGGAAGTAGCTAAAATATATTTTGGGAAACAGGATCCGCAGGAATTGGCTTCTCCTAATGACAAAAACGAGGTGCTGACTCGAATCTGGATAATAAAAAGATCCCATATCTTTGACAGCCTTATAGATAGAAAGTTAAAGTCTGAAATGCTTGCGCAGGAAGCTGTTTCTGTTGACAAGGTACTGACTATAATCTGGATAGATAATAGATTACAGATTATATGTAGATTGAAAACCTTATAGACAGAGCTGAATACTAATACGAATACGAATAAGCGAGGCATCGGCAGCTTAATAAATTGACCACGCGGTGAAATAAGTGTCAAGGCTTAATAAACTTTATGATTTATAAATTTCCAACACATATATTTAATTTGCATGGGGCCTGAATAAATGTAACAGAACTTTGCGTTGTAAATTTCAATAAATTTTCATTATTTGTAAACATGCGTTTAAAAGTTCCCCTTTTTTGATATTTTTTTTTTTTTGTTTTTTAATTTGTTTGCTTTAATTGCAAATAATTTTTAAACTTTGTGCGCGCGCGGTCAAAGGGCAGCGTCCAGAGAAACATGTACATAAAAATACATTTAAAAGTGGCGAAGTGGAGCAAGGGATTGGGATTGGGAATGGGTGTGCCCGCAGTGGAGTAAATAAATTGCTATTAATTTTTCAGCGCTGTTCGTCAAGTGGCGAACGGCGCCGAGACGACGATGTCAGGAGCCGGAACTGGAGCCGGAGCTGAAGAGCTGCAGAGCTGCAGAGCTGGAGCTGAAGCTGGTGCTGGAGCTGAAGCTGGTGCTGGTGCTGGAGCTGGAGCTGGCCATGGGGTAGGACACCTAAAGTGCATATAATTTTTCAATTTGAAATGTTTCGTGTGCAGACACATGGCCAACCATGGTCTGTGGTGGCCAAAAAGGTGGCAACTTTTAGCGCCGGACCCAAATGAATTGTGGCCAAAAAGTTGCGACTGTTTTTATTTGTGCGCGCGTGTGTGTGTGTGTGTGTGTGTGTGTGTGCAGCGCAGTTAAGCAAATATTTAATTGCTGCACTTTTTCTGGCACTCGCATTGTTATGGCCGAAAGTTTGCCAGTGTCAGTCAATGTTTTTTTTGTTTTTGCTTTTGGCCAACACATTTCGGGTTTGGCCAATAATTTATGTGCTGCCATTTGCTCAACAATTACGGCCTTGCATGCCATCTCTCTCTCGCTCTCTCTCTCTGTCTCACTCTTTCTGTCACGCTGATGCGTTGGTTAATGATGTTGACCTTTGCAACAAAATGTTGCACGCTGTTAACTTTAAAGCCGCGCGACGTCTGCGGCCAATTTAAATGGCTTTTCAATAACAATTGTTATTTAAACAAAAAAAAAATAAAAACAAACAACAACTTGTGTTGCCTACTTATGCGCATGATTTCAATAATGAGCAATGCGCGCGTCTGTTGTTGTTGTTGTTGTTGTTGCATAATTAATTGTTTTCACACATAATAATTTAATGCGCGCGTACACGTGTAAAGACCCCCCCGCCCATCAATTATAAATATGGCAATAAATGCGTATTGGCCATAGTTGCAATATGTCAACCAACCCACTGTTGGCCAATATCCTGTTGCCATTTGTGCACTTTGCATGTGTTTCAATGTTTAAATGTCATTAACAAAGCCGTAAATTATGTGTGCCCCGCAGCCAAACGTGCCCCAGCTGTGTGGCTGCAACAAAAGTGCAAACAGGTTGACCCAACGATGGCTCCCCGTCAACCCCCCCGCCCCCACCCAGCGACTGAACGTTGCCAGGCTTAATAAACCCACTCACAACTCGATGTGCTGCTCTTGCGGCTTTATTAGCTTTTTGATGCCTGATGCCGACCCCGGCTTATGACGGCTTAGGTAAATATTAATAATGCCAGCAGTTGCCAAAAAAAAAAAAAAAAACAACACTCAGAAGTACAAAATGCAACAGCTACAGTGAACACTGTCTAAAGGCAAGGTTAGCTTTATAATATACTAAGTAAAACTTTCAGCTGCCGAGCTCTTAGGGTCGGTCAATCGGTCAGTCAATCATTCAGAGAGTCTGCAATTCTGTCAATCAGTCAGTCCGTCAGTCAGTCAGTCAGTCAGGACATACATTATATACTAGATATTGATCTTTTTGAAATCCAAGTTTTGATGCTAATAATTGTAACTATATTTACTCCCTAATTAAGTATGGTTAATTTTCGAGTACATAATTATATTTGTTCTGTATAAGTAATTATTATTAGCTACTGTGCCCTATGGCTTGTTTATCCACATAACCAGACCCTTGTCCGAAACTCTAGAGCTCCAACCCGCCCCCACATTGTGCAGCTGCCCCAAAGTCTCACTTGAACAGCTCGGACAGACAGTTGATGATTCTGCTTAGATATGCCCACCTATGAATCTGCTCCAGGCATTTTAGGCACTTTTCACTGTAACTGCTGAGAGGAGCATGAGTACAACTGGCTGCTCATATGAAAAATCAGATAGCTTGAAGCTGTCCAACTTTTTCATTTCGGCTCGGTTCTACTCACGTGAAGGTAACAAAAAAGTAGCAAAAAGCAGAAAATGAAGCTAGATAAAAAGCCGAACTAGCCATATGAATTTATGAGCAATGCGTGATGGGGGGCGTACAATGCTTGTGGCTGCGGGCCGCCCCCTTTACAGCTGGCCTAGTCAAAAAAAAAAAAAAAAACGAAGTGGAAGAAGAAGAGAAATGCAACAAAATTATAATTTATGTGGCTTTAATAGCCGCTGGGTGCCTCATGCCACAAGGTGTGCAAGTGTGTGTGTATGTCCCTCCCTCAATACACAACTTGCCGCTTATCGCTGGCCGTGTAAGGCAGGCCAGTGTGTGTGCATGTGTGTGTGTGTGTGCGAGTGTGTTTTTTATTATTGTGAAGAGGAATGGGTAGGCCGTAAACGTGTAAGTGTTGGTACGTCTTATCAGGGCCTGCCTGTAGCAACATTTATTTTAATGCCTTATCACACGGCCAGCCCAAGACCAACGCGAACGCGAACGCAGAACAACAACTGCACAATTGGGAGTTACGAGTGTGTGACGGACAGCCACACACACACGCACACGCACACACACACACACACATACTTGTAGACCTTATATACTACATAGACCTTATGATAGGCCGCCACAAAGTGTGACAGACGTGTACGCACTTGCTATCTCACTTTATTGTACTTGTATCTCACTCGGTTTGTTCTTAGCCAATGCTCCCCTGATAATACTTTTTTTTCATCTTTATTTTGTTCTACTGCTTCTTCTTGTTTTTGTTGTGTAGCGCGTCATTGGGTTTTGTCGTCGGTGTGTGTGTGTGAGAGTGTGTGTGTGTGTGTGTGGGGTTTTGGTAAACGCCTACGTTTTTATTTAATGCCAGTATTTGGTGCTTGTTTTCGTTTTTTATTATGACGGTGTTGCTTATCATAGTTTATAGTGTTCGCTCTGCGTTGTTCGTTGTTGTCGTTGTTGTTGCTGTTGTTGCTGTTGTTGCTGTTGTTGCTGTTGTTGCTGTTGCCTTGCTGATAAACTTTACGTAAGCATAAGAAAATAACAACAATCTTTTTAATTCCACGAAAAGAAAACCTCTTGAATGTCGGAAAAACCCACAGCATATTTGTTATCTTCACACAAAAAAAAAATAAAATAAAACTACAAAGAAAAATATGTACAGAAAAAAACTAAAAAAAATTACAGAAAATAAAGGAGAAAAAAAAATGGCCTGTCCCATGTGTTTAGTTTTTATCTGGGGCTTAATTATTTACTCATTTGCCTTCGATATATATTGTATAAAATATATTTATATATATGTATATATAATTCATATTGTGTCAACAGGAAACGTGGGCACATTCATAAGGTTGATGCTGTGCTTGGCACCGTCGTTATCCGTTGCCCACTTTCCGCTCACATGCGAAGCCAACAACAACAGCAACAGCAACAACAACAACAACCTGAACAAAGCGCGCGCATTGTGTTCAATGTGCGTTGCTCAAAGATCAACTGAAGCGGGCGCTGTGCGTGTTTATGATCAGTTTTTTGAGCGGGTTTGAGCTGTTGTTGGTGTTGAGGGGGCGGGGGTGTTGGACATAGATCAGACGTATGAGTAAGTTGCGCTTGTTGCGCTGACTCGTACAACATGAACTTTAACCCTGCGCCCGGCCACAACAACTGCGACTTGTATAAGAAATATTTGATCACCACTTTGCAGAGTCCGCTGACTCACGATCTAAGTTATGATATATGTATGTCTGCATGTGCAAACCCCTTCACCCCTTATCCGATAGTTTGAGTGGATTTTTGTAATTCGCTGAAACGTCTCAAGAGTGTCACAGTACAATTGCAATTAATGAATTGAATTGAGTTATCCACTTTTTTTCCGCCAGATAACGTGAATCTCTAAAATCAATGCAACACGTCTCAACATAAGTATAAATGTTTTAAATATGATTTTTTTAGCTATCCTCTTTTTTCCAATAATCAACGGGCATAAAGTAAGTCACATTGTAGAATACTAATATACAGCAATTCACTCATTTTTCGATCGGAGAAGTGGATTTTGTAAATTTAATGAAACGCTTTAAAAGGGAAACAATCTGAAGATCTGTTTCATGAGCAATAACAAAGTTGCGTTTGTCAGGTTTTCACCAATTTTCCACCTTTTTGGATGAAAGTCCTGAGAGCCCTGTCTAACTGTTCGAATGCGTCGCACCAGGTAACTCTTATCGTAATCAGTTGGAAAAAAATATATATCAATGACTCTGCACCTCGAACTAGCCAATTGAATAATTATATAAATGATAAATAAAGTGAGAGAGAGAGCAACTCACCTGAGTCACGTTCTGCGTGGTTTGCGGGCCCGGGGGTGAGTGCAGCAGCTGATGTTGTTCGAGCTGCTCGCGGCTGGCGAAGGCCGCAGTGCATTGCATGCAGGGAAAGGCGGCGCTGAGATCGCCCGTTGTGGAACCCGGGCTGGAGGTGGAACGGGGAGCACTCAAGTCCAAATCATAAGCGGAATTGCTGCCGACGCTGCTGTTGCTGCCGGGTTGTGGCGGTGGCAACAGCAAAGCCTGTTGCAGCTGCGGCTGCTGCTGTTGTTGCTGCTGTTGCTGCTGTTGCTGCTGGTGCTGCTGCTGTTGGTGGCTGGGCGAGCTGGCGGAGCGTGCGGACTGCATGGCCAGGGCAGCGGCGGCCATGAACTGTGCATGCAAATGGGCGGGCAGCTGTGGCGGCGGATGCGGCAGGTGGGCAAACAAATCGCTGGGCGTGGTAGCAACCGGGGAGCACAGAGGCGAGTGCTGGCTTCTGTGGCTGCTGCTGCCACTGTGGCTGTTATTGTTGTTGTTGTTGTTTTGATTCTTGGCCAACTCGCTGTTGTTGTTGTTGTTGTTGCTGTTTGGGGACTTGGCATAGCGGCGACTGCTGCTGCTCAAATTGCTCTGCTCATCCTCCTCCGCCTCGCTCTCCGGCTGCGCAGCCTCAGCAGCGACACGATGCGGCTCATAGTTGAGCTTGTCGTGCGGATGCTCGTTGGCAATGTGCTCGCTAAACGACTAAGGGAGGAGGAAGGTGTCATGGTTATGGTCCGTCAAGAAACGCATGTCAGCCAAGCGGAGACTCACCTGAAACTCATTGAAGCGCTTGTGGCACTGCGTGCACTTGACCAAACAGTCTTCGGCTGCATTGGCTGTGGCGCTGGCCGCGATCTCCGGATTGGCAGCCACATTGTTGGGCTTGCTGTGCGCTTGGTGATGATGCAAATTGGAGGCCAAAGAGGAAACTGCAGTGCGAGAAAATGAGAGAGGGAGAGAGACAGAGAGTTGAGTGTGAGTCAAGGCTTTCACACAAAATAGGAATCACGTTTGGTAAAAAATTCTTTGCAAAAAGTTTCTAAAAATACTATAACTAATTTAGTAAAAATTTCGATTACTTTCGTTATGCACTGAGAGAAATATTATGGGTTTAAATAATTGCTATTAAATATTATAGATTCTAAATAAATATTGTGAAAGGGTAAGGCTAAATAAATTACCAAAAACACATATTAAAAATATAAAATAAATCTATACAAATTTTAAAGAAACAAATTAATAATTTGAATGTTCAGCTTTTAGTTCTCTTAGTTCTGTTGCAGAATCTACAAAAAAAAAAAAAACAAATTAAATCGATTATATTTTTTTGCGGAACCTAACGTAAGTGTTCCTCAAACTGAAGACGGCCATTTTGCAATTAAGCAGCATTTTTTAATGAAAACAAATTAACTGTGAGATCTGCACAGGCGATAAGCAGCAAGAAGCAGACCTAAATGGCATGCCACACATAAGGGCCACAAATAAGCAAGTGGAGCAGCAGCAGCAGAGTGACTTCACAGGGGGAGGGGGGGGGGGGTTTGTTTGTCTGAGAAGAAGGGCTGCCGTGTGGCCGGAGGCAACTTCAGCTTAAGCACCGAAGATCGACATTAATTTCGTGGCAAATCAACTTCACCGCTGGCAAAGTCAGTGCTACGAGCCACAACCCCTGCCCCAACAGCCTGCCCCGCCTGTGGCATTGTGGTTGCCGTTGCCTTCACGCAACGATTCCACGTAAAAGGCGATGATCTCATGCGCCAATCAAAAGCAAAAAAAAAATAAAAGAGTGGAACTGGTTTACACACGCACACAAACACACACACACACACGTGCACACACTGGAACTGGCTGAAGAGTCGACTTAATCAGTTTAAAAAAGCGTTCAAGCATGCGAAAAAGGAGATCATATAGAACGTGAACGGCGAGGCAAGGCAGAAGACAAAAAAAAAAAGAAAAAAACAGAAAAAAAACGAAAAAAAAAAGTATCTTGAAGATTGCTTTGTTCAATGACGACGTCGCTGGCAATGCCGATGCCGAGGGTCAGCCAATTGCTATACACACACTCACACACACACACACATACACATGGTAAATGACTGTGTATGTGTTAGTGTGTGTGTGAGATACTTATGGCCGCTGAGTCGCTTGGTAAATAAGCAACTTTGTTGTATCTGCGACTGGGCCCAGGCACGCTGCAAGGTACAAAATGGAGTTTCAGCTCACGCTGTGTGTATCTCACAATGGGAGTCTTTGTTGTTGCTGCCGCTGCTGCTGTTGCTGCTGCTGCTGTTGCTGCTGCTATTTGATCGCTACCTTAATTTAAGCCAATTAACCGCCTGCAGACAGACGCCGCTCATAGGGGCACTCACATGTGCAGCGCTAAATTAATGGGTCTGTGTACGCGCATACCTTGCTTTTGTATCTGTAGCTATATGTTTGTATGTATATGTATCTGTGCGATGTATCTGTATCTGTATCTTGTGGCCGGCCTAGCAATCAAGCGCAATCTAAAGCAGAGTTCGTTGCACGTTCTGTTGTTATTTTCACTTTCAATAGTTTTTCCTATAAGGTTTTCTTTTATATCATTTTTTTTATTTTTTTTTTATTGATATTACAAAGTTAATTGATTCAGATACAGTTTGATTTGCCTTTCTGGGATGCGGGCTCTTAGTTACTTGGAGGTAATTTCAATTACTGTTATTTGTGGCATGCAACGTGACCCGCATTGCGCCTGCAGCCACCCGCTCGCCTAGCGCCCAACGCTAATCATTCTAATTAGAGCTCGCATATTCCGACTTTGCTCCATTTTAAATGCCATCAAAAACGATCAATAAAAAAATAGCAACAGCTGCTTGTATTACAGCACTTTCTGGTCGCGTCTACATTTCAGTTAATAATTTTGTGAAAATTTATTTCTTGCTGCCCGTTTAATGACATTTTTATTAAATGAATCTGTCGGCCATTCGCTCATCTTCATAAAATATGCAAGTTGTTAAAACGTGAACCACAAAGAGAAAAATATATTAAAACACCAAACAAATTTTATGGCTTTTTTCATCATCATAATGGCGGGCTTCGGGCTTGAATGCCTGGGGTATATGGGCTGAGTGAGTGTGTGTGCGTGCGTGTGTGAGAGTGTGTGAGAGTGTGTGCGACACTCAACACTCAACAAGTGTGTCACCAGCTCATTTAGTTCAATCAATTTTTCATAACAGAAATTATTAACGCAACGTGGAAAAAGCCGTTTCGCATTTTGCACTTATTTCTTTTTAATACCCTGTAACAATTAAAAGTGCGTAGCCAGGGTATGCTAAAGTGCTGCTCATTGAATGGAAAAATTTCTTCTCTATGTATAAATTAATTTAAGCATTTTTGTCTTAGGCTCGGCGACTTTTCAAAGTCTTAAAAACATTAATTGCAATAGCTTTATTTATTTACTTTTTATCATAGTCCTTTCAAAAGAGAGTTGCTGCCTGTGTACAGGGTAGCTCTTAGTTGAGCATTGATATTTGTTTTTCATTGTCATATGTAAGCAGTGGTATTGAAATATTGAAAGTGTCTGCAAATTAATTTCAATTTGTGAAGTGAAAACAAAAAAAAAAACAACAGATCTCAAACGAATTTTGATAGTCGCATCAAATATTTCTGTTTGTTTGCCCTGCAATTGTTGCTTTAGTCTTATTGTTGTTGTTGTTGCTGTTGTTGCTGGCCAACTATTTGGCGCTTACGCAGGCCAATTGAAGTTGATTGATAGTGTTTTATAGTCAGGAGAGAGAACCCATCAAAGCAGATTTGCCCAAGCAGCCAGGAAATATGCTGTGTATCTTAATCTATTTTTGGCTGATGGAATGTCTTTTATGAATATGATTTCATGGTTTAGTTCTTGTGGACCACTTCTAAAGCTCAAAGCGCTTATTTTTAGTAGAATTAAGGCCAAATTTCATGGAGATCAGTAAGTTTTTTGAAGTTCTTTCTTAATTAACAGATGCTTGCCTTAACAGTGCACTTTAACAGCCAGCTGTTAGCTCTAGAAACGAGCTCATGTTGTGTTAACATTTAATGCCAAAATAAATAAAAAAACACCTGTTGATTTGCAAAAAAAAAAATTTAAATTTAACGCCATTAGATGCGACACAAATGCATATCAAAATGCCAGATTTGATGAACTTTTAAAGAATATCGTAAGAATTGTGGGAAATGCCAGCTGTTAAATGATTTGACAGCTCCAAAGGCGCAAATATTTTGACAGAATAGATGTGATAGCTGCCTAGAATTTATGCCACACGTTTGCCAAAGCAACAAAAAACCACAATTTAAAACAATAAAAATATAAAATGGAGCTCACGTATGATAGCGGCACATGAAATTCCGTGTGGTTCTTTGTTGGGGCTCGGGTTGCTCAACTTTTGCGGTCCACTGGTGACGGCACAGAATGGAATCAAGCAATTGGTGTCAATGCTGGTTCACCTGTGCTACACGCGCGGCCCAAAATAGTCGAAAAGTAACGGGGGGGCGCAGCTTATAGTGGGGTATATTTATATTATAAATAATATGCATGTGGGTTGAGGGGGGAGACAGCGTAAATCAATGAAAAATAAAAACTACATTTGTGCTAACGTGCAAGGCGACAGATACATTTGTATCTGTATTTGTTAGTTGTGGCTGCTGTTGTTGTTGGCTTCTGCGTTCCACTAATTTTATGTGCTTTTTATTGCCAGCTTTTATTAGCCCCAGACATTTTTCAGCTAAGCTCGGCTAATGCCAATTTATTTATTTCGTTTCATTTCATTTTGCCATCTTTTTACTTTCAGTTCTCGCAACGATTTTCACGTTTAATTTATGGCCAGCGGTTGCAGGCGGACGGCTTTTACCTGCGCCCAGTTCTGGGCTGATGGAACATTTCTCATGCTCATTTGGCTGTCAGTTTTTAAAGTGTTTTTAATATTTCAATGACAGGCGCTTGTCAAACACGCCCAAACGAAATGTAAACCGATGACATTTCCTATAGGTTTCTTTTTTATTTTTGCTTATCTTTTAGCTGCTCAGGTAAGGGAATTTGTTGCTACTTTAGACAATTCTAATTGTTTAATTGTTGTTGCTGCTGCTGCGAAAGCGCTGACGCAGCTTTAGACAAATGGCCGACAGGTGGCGCCGCTTTCAATGACAATCGCTTTGCGAGTTTTTGTGTAAATAATAAACATAAATTTTAGCACTTAATTATAAACAGACACAACTCGTTGCAGCCGCTCATTTGCAGCTAGCGACATTTTTAGCATATTTATTAAATAAATTTACATAAAATTAGCTGCAAATGGCAGACCGGCAATAAACACACACACACACACACGCATAGTGTTGGGGCCTAATTGTGTTTGATAATGTAAGCGACACCTCTCTCAAGCATTAATTTATTTATTTAGCAATTAATTGGCGTGTAAATGTAAACCGGTGGGAAGGCCAATTTGTTTAGGTGTAAAATGTGAAATGCTTCGTTATCGAATGCCAAAATACCGAAAATACCCACAACGTGGCGTGGGCGTGCGAAAGTTTACAATGATCGGTCTGGCAACTCCATGCGCGAGCGCGCTCTTCCTCTTGCTGCCTGAATGTCCGTTCTCAAGTGGCAGCACTTGAGCCGCATATGAAAAACATATGCCCGGGACCCCGACTCAAATGCTAAGTAATAATCGCCGAGGCGTGCTAAATTTGGAACTCGCAGGGCACTTAAAGAGCGTAGGTATGTACGTATATAAAGGTGCATGCGAGTCGGGTTATATTTTCCGTATGCATGAGTATATACGCTCGCCGGGCACAAAGGTGGCTTAGGTAAAACAGCCTCAAGTGGCAATGCCAAAGGTGGCAGCCACAGCGAGCAACGCAGAGCAGACGACGCTGCGACTGCGACTGCGGCTGACTATAAATAGAGTTTCGG